TGTTCATCAATTTGAAAATACTGACAAAATTACTGACAAAAATATTGACAAAAATACTGACAAAAATACTGACAAAAATACTAACAAAATACTGACAGAAATACTGACAAAAATTCTGATAAAATACTAACGATAATACAGACAAAAATATTGACAAAAATACTATCAAAAATACTGATAAAAATACTGACAAAAATACTGACAAAGAGAAGTCAGGATATCTAAACACTATTGACAATACAATTTATAAAGTTAAATTATGGTTTAACATTGCTTTTAATACCAGATGATGCTTTTTATCAAAAACAGTTTGGATACAAAGAAGGAAAATTAAGCCTTAACAGTTTAAAATAACGTAAATATTAAACTTAAATTATTCATTGCTTTATGACATTGTCTCCCCCTGCTTTAACCATAATCTGTCGACCCGGTGTATGTCACTTCCTTTTGTAAAAGATGCCGCAGAGTTTTCCGCAGGGATTCCTTGTCAATCAGAAAACGATAAAGAGTGTGTGCTGACTTCGTTCATTTGCATATTTTGTATATGTGACTAAAAACACTTCACTTCCAAAGAATTTCGCAAACGCTTTTCCAGCATGATATCAACATTGCATTTTTTTTTCAAATAATAATAACTGTTGCAATATGTAAACAAGGTATTCTCAAGGTATATGCAGAGGACAAATAACCCGACAGTCTGATCAGGATCCATGCTGTTCGCTTACCAACTCTATTACAAGTGGAGAAACTGACAGCGAACAGCATGGATCCTGATCAGACTGCGCGGATGCGCAGGCTGGCCTGGATCCATGCTGGTCGCAAACCCACTATGTTGGTTTTGTCGTGACGCGGCTCATATATTAAAATCATGAATTACACATGAATTCACACTCACCGTCAGTTCCTCAAATTGAGACTTTTGTTCATGTTTAAGAACTAAAAAATCTTAAGTTGCACCCGGATTTAATTCAGATGCATTTCAGATAACCAAATAAGTAAACAAATCAGATGTGTCATTTAACACGTTTCCGAAATGTATTACAGCACATGCATTTAAAGCTTTTCTAAAGATATATATAGAGAATACCATGCTAGTGTCTGATATTATAAAATTTATCAGGCAAGGCTAAGAAAAAAAAATGAAGGGCCCCGAGGCTTGCCATGGATTTTGTAAATTTTATAATATTAGTTGTTTTTTTCTTTTTATCAGCTTTTCTAAATGAAAATTTTTTAAAAAAAAAATTAAATGTATGGTTTTAAAATTATTAAAAGGACCGTTCAAAAATTCAAAATTTCTTTTTCGATTTCAAAGTTTACATTTAAAATTTCCAAACCCGTACCAAAAAATATATTAATTCTTATTTTTTTTAAAAATTTCCCCAAATTTTTTTAGATTTTATAAACTTTTTGATGAAAAGCTAGGTTTTAGGCATCACTTTAAAACAGAAACAAGTAATAAAATATTATTAAATTAAAAATTAAGATAAACCAAACGTTACAACACAATTTAAAACAAGGTTCAGTTTTACCAGTGTCAATCAGGAATGTTACAAAAGTTTTGCATATATATTGTTTAGAACCATATTAGTATTATATTTTATTTTCATTGTAAGAAAGTCTTACTTGTAATGTGAGTCACATTATTTTACAGACAGGCGGACTCAATTTATTAGGATTTATAAGCGTACGCTCGTACAGACGACAGAATGGAAGGCGCGTCCCTGGAAATCGATTCAGTATGGCGGGAGATTAAGCCGTGGGGGAAATTTCAGATGTTCCAGTTTTTCTTGATCCTCATTGACTATATACCAGCGTGCTTTGCTATTCTAAGTGCTGTTTTTACTGGTAAGAGTTTCTTTTTATCGCCCACCTATTTTTTTTATGTACAACCATTCAGCCTTGAAACTGGCATTTTGCTGGTTTCAAAGTTATGTGTATTTTAGAATCTCTTTGCATTGTCAATATACTAATAATTTAATCAGACACAATTTATGAAACTGACATCTCACTTCTCACGAAATTTTAATAAAAATCTTATATTTTTTAAATTTCAAAAGTTACCTTAATTTTTTTTTGATTTTAGGAAAATATACCGACTTAATGTAAAGTTCCCCAAAAAAGGGGGCAATTGCGTCACCACAGGGTAATTTTTCGTTAACTAGTCAGTGTAAAATGAAGTGCATTCACACGTTGGCCCGGTGTTTTGGGGAAAAGGGAATTGACGATTTTCATATTTTAAAAACTTTGACTATGCTTATAGGTTTTGGGGCTCCGGGAATTTTTGTTAATATCATTTTAAATTTAAAGTAAGACCTTGATAAAAAATATTTAAAATTTTATAAATAAAATTACCATTTTTGATTTTATGAAAAAATTTTAAAATTTTTTTCAGTGCAATTTTTGTACATGGGGTGAAAATAAATCTTGGGGTTTTAAAATTAAAAAAAAAATGAAAACTTTTTTAAAAGTTTTAATTTTTTTTTTACAATTTTTAAAAGAAAATTTCATATTTATTTTAAAAATACTGCCACCATGAAATATTTTTTTCATCCAAAGTGAAATAAATTTTTTTATAAAAAAATTAATATCCTTTTCAAAATTTATTAAAATATTAATAAAAGGGGAAATGCTTCAGATTATTTATGTTTGGCACATTTCTTTTTTCTTTTCTATATTAGGTATTTTTATAATTTTTTTAAAAAATTTTTTTTTTGTTAAAACGAAAATGTTTTCTTTAAAAGACACCGTGAAGTAATTTCCAGAAGTGGGCTCGAAAGTGATTTAAAACAAGTTTTCAAGAAATTATTTCACAATTGACTTAAGTAAATACATTTAAAAAAAAAAAAATATTATTATGCTCTGAAAATTTACTCTTTCTAGGCTCAGAAATCTTAAAAGCTGAAGTATTCTTACTGGTATTTTTTGCTTCTAGCATAAAGAGATAATTCAAACATTTTTCTTTTTCAAGTGGGACCTTGTTTGCAATCGGGCGAATCTGGCTGCCTTGGCACAGTCTTTGGTTCTTGCTGGACAAGGTCTTGGGGCATTAATTATGTCCCATATAGCCGACATATTTGGCCGGAGAAGACCAGTTCACGTGCTCTCACACTTGGGTGTCATGGCGTCAATGATTCTTTCATGTCCTTTTCAACAAACATAATCATGTTGTTAACTCTGAGACTTGTTACACTAAACATGGAACATTTTCAACAGGTAACTTCTCTGAATATGTTTATTATATATATTAAACATTGTTTTAAGCGCAATGCATTTGTTGTATTTTTGGAAAAAAAATGTACTTAGTATATCAAACTTTTCAATACGAGACAAAAACCCCATACAAAAACACGGTTTTCTTCCAAAATTTAAAATTTCTTATAATATAATAGAATTATATTAAATTTGACCTTCGCTAACACTTAAAAGTTTCACCCCCGAAATTGCAAAAGAAATTTTTAGGGTGAGCCAAAATTTTAAAAATTTTTGTTTACCATTTTTTTTAATTTAGTGTACAAAAGGGAAAACTTTATTTGGGTTTTCGTGTTTAATCATATTTTTTTTAAAAATCAGATTTTTAATATATTTTAAATTAAAACGTTAAAAAACTTTTTGGGTAAAGGGGTCGCAACTGCACTTTGGCAGCAAAAAAAATTTTAAAAATATAAAATTATTTTTTAATAAATTAAAAAGCGACAAATACAAACTCAAAAAGTAATTTATATAAACTGTTTAACTATCATTTTTAAAAATTTTTAAACGATTAATTGAATTTTACATACCGTTTTAAATCTTGAAATTCCGACAAAAAAATTACCTATTCAATTTTTAAATGGCAGGTTTTAAAATGAGCTTTTTTTTTCAAATTGAGTAGGTTAAAAAAAAAGCTTTTATTTATCACTCAGACATCTATACAAATTGGTTAAATACATTGTATGTATGTGTCACTTATACCGAGCTTTTGCATACACTTAAACGGTTTTTACGTAAGAGAGAGGGAGAGAAAAAAAGAAGAAAAAAAGAATTGAATCAACGTACGTTCTTAGTTGGTTAATTCGTCAATATTAAAAAGATAGTATCATTATTATTAAGTGCTCTTTTACCACACTGCAATAACAACATCAATTGATGATATGATTAGAAATACTGAAATGCAAGAAATTATTTGTTAATTTTCAAGAGTTTTATTTACTTACATCTATCTATTTACATATCAGTGTTCACGTTGAAGTTATTGCCATTTTATAAAAGCACTTATAGTGTTTTATGTACAATATTTAGACATGTCAGCAACTTAAAAAATTGCTTCATCAATTGAATGCTTAAAGTGTTATTTTATGATCATAAGTACTCCGACGGTAAAATATTTAAATTTGATGCAAATTTATGTGAAATATTGTGAGCCACTTTCATTTTTAAGTTAGTAAACATTTTTCTTTCGATGACAAATGCAATATTGGTTGTAAAATAAAAATGATGATAAGAAAATCACAATTAATTGCTTGAGTAATCAGAGATCTTGAGAGTCCGGTCTATGCTTAATGAGGGTCCATCCGCCCTTTCAGGCACTCGGTCTGAGAGTACGGACCCCGGACATGTCACCAGTCATGCCCTTAACATGTATTTGATATATCGAAAGTGGTGACCTATTTGATTTAAATTCAGTACTTTTAAATTTAGTAATTCACTGAATGATACCAAAAAGTATGCAATATTTTTTGGGATATTTTAAAGAGCATGTAACACAATTTTTTATGGTTTTATATCATAAATAATTATGATGCTCAAATTAAGATTTTTCAATCTTGTAAATTCCCCCAAAAAAACATTATTTATAAAGATCATTTTATGTAAATAAAGGGAAGTAATTAGAAATTATTTTCTATAGTCTAAATCAATTTTTTCAATAAGAAATGGATGCAGTTATTATAATGATTACATATAATATGCACAAATATTTGCAGTTCATATTTTACATATTCTTCGATGCTTGAAAATTGTTTTATAAGCATAATTATATAAATTTCAGGGTATTGTTTGCACGGGAAAGATCCTTGCTTTAGAAATGTTTCCACGAGAGGTCCGTTCACATACAGAAGCTGCTACTTTTATAGCATGGTCTGTAGGAATCATGATTCTTTCTCTGTATGGATATATTTTCCGGGGCATAGATTGGCGTTTTCTCCAGATCGGCTTAGCTGCATTCTCATTCTATGCCTTGTTTGAGTGGTGGTAAATATATACAGTGTATACATTGATTCTTTTTGGGCATTAAACGAAGTGCATAAAATCTTTTAATGCAATATGTAGATAGTAAGCTTTGCCTTTTACCACAGGAGGGGCGTTCGTGGACGAGCGGTTAAGGTCGCTAACCTCAAACCACGTGCCCCTCACCGTTGTGGGTCCAAAACCAGCCAAAGACTTTGGCTTCTTTCACGTGAGGATTCTATCGATTAAGCTTACGGTAGTTCTATTCAGGTGCCCGTTTATGTTCGAAATAATGCACAGATGGGCACGTGAGTACTTGAGGTCTTACTTCACACGTAAAGCTGGTAGGACGCCATATGCCCTAACTGTGTTGGTGCACTTAAAACCCAGCCAAAAGAAAATTATACCATATGACCCTTGCTTCAACGAAATATATATTTTATATTAGAATATTAATATATTGAGTAGTACAATGTGGTTTGGTCAATGACCAGTTCACAAATGATAAACTTTTACAAAAATGAAGCACAGCTAGTATGTATGAAAATGATCTCAATTCATTAACATTGTCAATAGCTGTGCTCAGTTATTTTCATGGTTTAATATGAGTAATTGCCGAAATTAAATGATGCACATTATAATATATAGACAACATCGACAACTTTTGAAAATTACAATTCTGGTTGATGCCCAAGTTGAATGACCAAGTTTTATCTACATTTTTTTCTAATCATTTCATCATCTGTTTTGTGTTTCACTGATGCTCGTGTATTAACACAGGATGATGGATGAGTCTGTAAGATGGCTTATCACAAACGGAAAAATGGAGCAAGCGAAGAAAATTCTGAAGAAAGCTACTAGATGGAACAAATCAGACTTTAAGAAGATAGAAAATCTTCCATACTTCGATGAAGTAGAAATTGACATTCGAAAGTCGGTCGATACTGAACTTGACACGATTGGAAACGCTGATGACGACAAAACTAAACGCGAGAGAGAAAAGCAAAGAAAAGCGGTAGAAAAATACAACGTTATAGACATTTTAAAAAATCCGAAGCTGAGATTGAACACAATTATTCTGTGGTATTCGTGGCAAGTATTGAGTTTTTCAGGTTCTGATGAAGAATGTCACATATTTTAAATGTTTCCAACACATTTTTATTCCTCTCTAAGTCTAAGTCTTATAAGGTTATTACGACGGTTTTGACTTTTTTAACAAACTCGTTGCCCAAGATTTTACGGCACAATTGCTTTGTGATTTGTCAAGAAAATATCAAAAAAGTAAGAGAAAATATCTAAACACAAAAAAGTGAAATAAGGTAAAAAAAAAGAAAGAAAAAAAAATAAAATAAAAAAAATAAAAAAGAAAGAAAGAAGAGAACGGATGTTCTTGTAGGTGTAGGCATCGAAAGTGTTGAATTCCAATAATAGTTGTCATATTCTTTTTGACTCCTGGAGCATTATTTGTTTAATTTTAATCCTTCACATTAATGTTTTACGCTTTATATTAGAGATGTCTTAATAATATTGGAGTTAAAGTGAATTGGTTCATAATGGAAGGTCTGTAATGCCGTTCAAAATCGTATGTTGTTGGTAGGTGTGAGATACATGACATATCTGTACGAAGCAGACAATAAAGTGTTCTTTAACAAAACATAAAAAATTCCATTCTAGATCACTTAGAATATCTATCAACATTTTTTTCAAGAAATATTGTATAACAATGTTCAAATGTTACATTTTTCTATAGTTTTTATCAAAATTTGAAACATTTTCGGGAAAATCAGTCCATTGTAGACCAATCCACTTTAACACCGTTACATTATGATGGTGAATATGTTACTGCGTTAATAATACAAAGAAACAAAACACTCTTTAATTTATTACTTTTATTTTTACAGGATTGTTGCCACAGGGTCGTATTATGGTCTAACACTTATATCAACGCACTTGGCCGGGGACAGATTTGTAAACTTTTTTCTTAGCGGAGTTATAGAAATTCCCGCCCTTTTATTAGAATTCTACCTGTTTAATAAGTAAGTTTGGTGTCCTCAAATATATTTACACTGTTTTGATCTTTGATCGTCAGATGTGATAGAAGAGTCTTAATGGTCGTTTGTCTTTCTTGTTAGTGAAATAATTTCACATTCAATAGTTAAGACAAACATTCTTATATGAAATATGCTTATTTATTAATTATTTGTTTATTTATTGTTTCTTTAAAGTATCACAAACAAAATCATCATTATTTGCTCTTATGTGCAAACTACGTCAACCAGTAATTGTGTAATATCCCAGGGTAGCAATTGGTTAGCCAGTTAACTAATTGTAATTTACACAAAGCTGTAAAGATTGAAAACTTCAATTGCTTATTTCGCTTAACCCTTTCCCCCATGAGCATATTGTGAAAAATGGCCATTTTCACTGAAAAGCCTCCTCTTACAAGTTCAAACTGCTATGAAACTATGAAAAATGCTTCAATACTAATCAAACTTGGCACATATGTTGACTGGACCATTGCCTTTGTAACGACATGCTCAGTCTTAAATTTCCTGTTACCATGGCAACGAGGGGACATCTCAAAATTGCCAAAAAACACTTTTTTGCCTCGATTTTTTCCATCAAAATTTATTTCAAAGTGCTGCAACTTCTCAAGGGATTGAGATAGAGTCAAAGGCTTTTCAGCGTTGGTTACACGTTACCTTATGATCAACCTGGGGTCATTTTAAGCCTCTCAGAAGTCCAAAATTTTCTTGGCGATGAGGGGGACTCCGCCCCCTTCAACCCCCCCCCGAAACAGAAGGGGGCACATTTCTCAAACGATAAACAGTGTTTGGGGTCTAAATAGGACATTTTTTCACTGTTTGAGGCCTCAAAAGGGGGGGGGGGGCAAAAAGCCGTCGAAACACGCTTATATAAGGGAAAAGGTTAAAGTGACCGGCTACTTATACAACATGATTAAAGCTCATTAGACACAATGAACTACATTTATAATCATTATCATAGAAAAATTACTTCTCGGCCGAGGATCAAACTAGTCACCCCTTGATTACTTATTCGATGCTATCCCTATGGAGCTTAGCGAGTTTTTACCAAACTTATTACCTTCGTTGAATGTTTAGAGTTTATAATCTATTTATAATATATTTTGTTTCACTATATTCCAGGATTGGTCGTAAGAAAACAATGATCCTATGGTTTGCAACGGCGGGGATTGCTCTGATCATTTCAACTGCTCTTCTTACTGTATTCAGTAAGTTGATTGCTTGTATGTCCTTTTAACATTCAGCCAAATCCTCTTTATCATAAATACATTTTCCATTGACTATAATACATCATATCTTTTAAATAAAAATATCTGTTACTTTTCTCTTAAAACTCCGTGTGCACAAGAAGTGTCATGTTGAACTTGTTAAAGTAAAAGAAAAATACTGTTAAACCATTTGTAGAACTAACATTTATGATAGAGTTATATTAAATAAGTAATTATGACTTTCGTAAAAACTTGTACAGGCTAGTTATTTAAAATATTTTCAATGTTTAAGAATCTTTTTTAAGTTCTTTAGTGTCAAACTATATTGGAATTACGAATGCACATGTACACAAAGCACCCTTTTGTGTTCGTTAACATAATCGTATCATGTGATATGCAAATGTGCTTTCTTAATCAGTTTAACTTAAATTGTATAAAGCCATAGGCATGTATCTGCTGCCTTCAGTTATCAAAATTATTGTTTATAACTTGTAAAATGATAGTTCCAAAATATCCGTTACGGTACAAAAAGACATATATTTGCTGAACATACGCAAAGTTATAACTTAACCGTTACAACCAAACAACACAGTATTGTGTTCCGGAACTTTTTATTCTGTTTGCGTACAATATTCATGTGTGTTAATGACATGTGTGTTACAACTCTTTATATTATGGGAGAACATAACTTTGCTTTAATGGGTTGAATTAAGTTCTCATTTGTGAAACATCCGTGTTTTGCAACTTTTTTCAGGACGTTCGCATCTGTTGTAGCGCCGATATATGTCCAAACGTCGAAAAATGTCCAAACGACGATAAATGTCCAAAAATTGACGATAAATGTCTCAATCGCCGATAAATGTCCAAAACTCCTTTAACGATAAATGTCCAAAAATTAACGAAAAATGTCGCAACAAATTAGGTGCTCATAAATGTCCATATCGGTTAACGATAAATGTCTCAACTTTTCATATGCTAATTTGTAACTTATTGTATTGGATACTGTAACAGTCTATCCAACTAACCCGTGATTTTACCCTCTGGTTTACCCCCGACGTAAAATGTATCATACATTATTGTGCATGGCCAGTTGCAGATCCGGATGGGGCGCGGGGGGCATGTGCCTTCTTAACTCACCGAAGCAATACGTTTTAGCATTGTTTGTGTTCTTCAATATTTTTGTGCCCCATATAGCGTTGCCATTGTCCGTCCGAGTGTCTAAGTGTCTAAGAACTTTTCGCTTTCCACGTGGGATTCTTTGCTAAATAAAGATTTTTTATAAACTATTTAAATTGTATTAGTATGTGTATTTTTGCATTTTACATTTTACATATGTTAACTGGTTACTAAGGCAGTATCGCTATTATGAATACAGAGTTATGTAAGAGTTATGTGCCCCAGGGTGATATAAGAAATATTCCCCGGGGAATATATTCTAGGAGGGTGATATTCGATCAGAACACATTGTAGGCCTATGGGAGTTTTACATTGAAGGATATATTGAAGTAACGTTATAATAATATATAATTAACACATGACTGTCGGGGTGATAGAGGATATTGTCAACACGAGAACTGGTATATTACACCGAGGCGCAGCCGAGGGTAATATGCCAGTTCAAGGGTTGGCAATATCCTCTATCACCCCGACAGCCATGTGTTATTTATTTTATTATACCGAAAAAAAAACCCTTAGGTCAGCAGTCTTTGCCTGAAAGAAAATACAGATCATCACTTCACAATTATAGCTATTTTGATCTGTAAATGTTCGATATACACAAAAATAGTATAATTTATATAGATAAAAACAAGAGACAGACAGACAGACAGACAGACAGACAGACAGACAGACAGACAGACAGACAGACAGACTAGGAAATAAATAATATTATGCTTACTGGGTACTAAGGCATTTTCGCTTTATGAATGAGTAATGTAAGAGTTTTGTGCTCCAAGGTGATATAAGAAATATTCCCCGGGAAATATATTCTAGGAGGGTGATATTCGATCAGAACACATTGTAGCCCTATGGGAGTTTTACATTGAAGGATATATTGAGGTATAATAATATAAATGTTTAAATGACACCATCATATAGCAATTATAATGTTACTATTCGAATACTGTGTAATATTTATTTTAATCTGTTGACAAAAACTTTTAACATTTCTTCTCCATTCGACAAACGTTATTTTGAAATTATCACAACTTGTCAATGAATATTTTCATCTTTAAACTGTTTTTACACATATATTAACTTGTTTACACTTGGTTATGTCTTGGTTGTAACTTCGGTAATGTACTGATGCCATTTCTTACGGTCTTCTGTACTATATATCTGCAATCTCGTACCAACAAAGGGCATCAGTAGTACGAATTATGTAATTAGTGTATATTTTATTGAACATATCACCTATAACAGTGATTTTACGGGTGATTTGCTATTCAAACCTTTCTCGGGTAAGTCGAGGAAGACTTCCAAATATGAATACCAATTCTACACTTGAGTTCACATTGACCAAGGCGTCCTCAATTCGTCCTTAAGGAAGCCTTTCCCGAGTTTGAGTGGAGGTTGAGTTCGAGTGACGACACTGAATATAGCTATAAGTGTAGAGTAGCGCAATGCAGATGTTAACAAGATATGTTTGTAAAACATGTATGCCACCCTAAACACAGCCAATTTAATATTATAACATTATATTTTTAAATGTGTATAAAAAATGCATAGTAAATTTGTTATGGAATACATGTCTATCATTACCATGGGGCAGAACCAATATGACCCATGGGTCCATGAATTGAGTAAACCCTGTAGTTGTCAATGAGACAATGTTACACACAAAATATCTTCTAAAAACAAGCTTTTCATGGTGAGGTCACTGTGACCTTTACCTTTGACCTACTGACCCCAAAATCAATAGGGGTCATCTACTTGTCATGCCCAACCTCCACACCAAATATGAGGACCATCAGCCAAAGCATGGTCTAGTTATTGAGTGGAAATGGCATGGTCTACGGACCGACGGACGGACCGACCGACCGACATGGGCAAAGCAATATACCCCCACTTCTTCGAAGGGGGCATAATAACTTATTTTATTTATCGTTGGTACCGGTTGCCCATATGACCAACGTCCCCTGAAGATTGTTAGTATATTATTTTTATCGGGGGGAAAGTGCATGATACAGAAGACGCCCCGTTCCAGAGGCGACCCTGGTTCTTTTAAGTGCCCGGTGTAGAGCACCAGTACAATGCACCTCGGTTTAACTTTTTTTTTCCCTTTTAATAGTAAGGGAGATGGACTGTATCCAACAATCAGATTATTTTCAAATACATTTTTTAAACTTTTTTAACAATCTCACAAGCATCCCGCTAGAGTCCCGGTGGTCGGTCGGGTGATCCAGGAACGACCGGGGTACGTCCGTAACTCTGTCGACAACGTCCGGGATGATCAAAGGCTCTGCCGGGGCTCTACCGGTGATTGTCGGCACTCTATCTGACCGTACTGGGCCTATGCCGGGATCATCCGGGACTCTGCCGACATCATCCGGGCTGTGCTAGCATGGATCTCAGCTTTTATGATCTCTTTGGTCGAAGACTTAACAGCGTTTGAATATCGTGTTAGGTCATACGTCGTCCACTTACTATCTGCATTATCCGTAGTTTCAACTGGACTCTGCATGGATGGCCCGGAGTTCATCCTGGTTGTTATAAGTATGGAAATTGGGTATCGCCGTAGTGCTACCGGGGTTATTGAGACTGCAACAATATTTTCATCCCGGATCGTCTGGGGTGGTCCTGGGCTTTGCCGGGATGCTGGTGAGAACGCTACTTAAATCGGTACTTTTAATCCCTATGGAAACCTTTATAACTGCTGTTGATCATAGAAATAAGTGCAATTAACATATGGAAAGTTGAGACATTTATCGTTGACCGATTTGGACATTTATGAGCACCTAATTTGTTGCGACATTTTTCGTTAATTTTTGGACATTTATCGTTAAAGGAGTTTTGGACATTTATCGGCGATTGAGACATTTATCGTCAATTTTTGGACATTCATCGTCGTTTGGACATTTTTCGACATTTGGACATATATCGGCGCTACATCTGTCTTAAAATGAATGAAAACTGTTTCATAGTATTTCATATGAACTAGTATGAAAACACAATTATTTTAAGCGGGACAAATTTAAGATCGTCGAGCTCGTTTTACTATATTCCTACACGCCATATGTATCGAATATCCTGGATTTGTTTCAATCGATTAGATATTTTTGTTAAAGGCACATAAAGCCTAAGAAATGAATAATTCTAATCCTGTAGGAAGGGCACACACGTGAATTGTTATGTTTTCATAATAGATTTAGAACATGTGAGATGCTTATTTTAACCTGACAAGAATGGTTCTGAAATACTGCTGCATATATATAATTTATCTGAAAGGCAGTCAAATGTAAACAAAGTGGTATTTTGTCTTCCATACAAACTAATAAAGCATTATAATTGTACTTATTGCAAAAATGCAAAAAAGGAAGCAAAAGAGTGCCAACGAATTACATTGAATTACATTAATTTTCAGACATTGTAAAAAATAAAAAAATCTTTTGGTAAATAAGAATAATTGCGTTTTTTGAGGCTTAATGGGCCTTTAAAATACAGATAAATTTGAGATTTTATATATACAATATTTAAATATCATTTTAGAGGGAAATGACACTGTTGAAACTATTGCTACAGTCTTCTCGCTGATTGGGAAATCCGCCAGTACTGGGTGCTTCAGTACAGTGTTCTTATACACACCCGAAATTTACCCTACAAATTACAGGTAAATCCTTGCAATACCTCATATAAAGTAAATCGCAGTTTTTATATTAAACATAATTATGATGTCAATTTTATGCTACATTCAACATTAAATTTATTCAAATCGAAATCGTATGTTTTTAGTTTTATTTTCAGCTCCATTCAACTTGAAATTATTCAAATTAAAATCGTGTGTTTTTATACTCAACATATGTCAATTTTATGTCGATTTTATGTCTAATCATGATCACATGTTTTTTTTACATTCAACATGCCAGTGTTGTGCTACATTCAACATTGAATTTGTTCAAATTATACTACGCATGTTTGTTTCAAAACTTCCAATGACCTTAAAAATCACGCAGTACTTTGTCCTGTTCGGTCACGTGTCTGCTGATTTGTAGGGGGTGTAAGGTTAATCTGTATATTTGATTTGGATATTTTTGATCTACTTATTTAAAATCTTCTACTCTAATCCGGACAACAGACGACATGGAATTATATTATACGATTGCTATAGATATTAAGGAATTAATCTTAGAAGTAATTATGTAGATTTAGAGATTTTTAATGCGGTCATTGTAATACTGTAAACAGTATCGGTAAAGATTGTAATCATTTTTGCTTACTAGATTCTATTTATGGTTGTCTGTTCTTTATACTTTATCATTTTAAAAACAAATTATAAAAAAATGTGATCATTGTAATTCTCTGATTCTCAGATTCGTTATAAGTGGCTATATTTACTATGTAAATTAAAGGAACCCCACCGAGGTCCAAAAACCTAAACACTTAAAATTTTAATTTCTTACATAGATCAGCTAGGACACGTAAAACAGAAACATGTTCAGCGATACTTAGAAATAAATTGTAAATCATATTTTTGTGTTGTTCTTTGACCAATTTGAGTGAAAAGCGGTAGGGTCATTTTTCACAGTTAAAACAATTATGCTGGAAAATTTGAGCAAGCGAACGATCTAGAATTTTGCACATAAGTAATTAAGTGTTCTAGACCTACATCAAATTGAACATTAATCTAGAAAAAATATTTTTAGCACTGGCATGTCAAAACACCTCAGTGGAGTCCCTTTAACAAAAAGATTAGTTTTGACCGGTGCAATTTCTTTTAAATATGCATGCTTGTGACACTGAATAATAAACATCTTATCTAATCTTGATCTTTCTTTAATTTTATCTTCGTATTCATCTTTATTTTTATATTTATCTTATCCTTATCTTATCTTGTTTTATTATTTATTATTTACAGAAACAGCGGACTTGGAATAGCCTCTTCAATCTCGCGTATCGGTGGTATATTGGCTCCTTTTGCCAGTAACCTCGTAAGTGACGTTTAATCTGATCTCATTCAATATTATATAAAATTACCAATCACTTGAAGATAAACGCCTAATTAAGGAAGTGAACACTCATCAATATAATGTATATTATATAATCAATTTTTTTAGATTAATGCACTGGTTTGGATAATCTGCATTTTATATTTCAAGCGTTAACGAAATAATGTTTATATTTTCAATCAAGAATACAATCTTAATAAAACATCATACTATTACGTACACGGATACACATTTTGTATTTTCAAATTTAATTTGAGTGATCATATTCTATTACAATTAAACAGTGCTGCCTTAATTCTATTCTAGGCGTTGATAGCGCTATGGATTCCTGGAGCTATTTTTGGCGGGATGTGTCTATTGGTTGCTATTTTTGCACTCCGACTTCCGGAAAGCGCCGCTCACGAGCTACCAACAACTATTGCAGAATGTAATAAAATGGACGAAAGTAGTTCCTCGTCCTACGAAGATACGTCAGATGATGGCGGTAAAAAAGATGATGAAGTTAAGACTGACGAATCTGACGGAAGTGTTGAAAAGAGCATTAATTCTGTTAGATTTTAAACCGTCGAAAATGACGGTCTAGAATTTCAAAAATGTTCTATTCCTATAATACGCATACATATAAAAATGCATAAAAGTGCAACTTATGGACATTCCTTTTGGGAAATATTAGAGTCATAAATGCTCAAACGTTCAAAACAAAATGCTTCGAATCCAAACACAGTAAGTGGAGTTTTAACTGCTGTCGCAATAAAACATGTACAGTACATTAAGATTACATGTACAAGAGTTTCTTGTAACATATGCTTCTTAGATAATCAAATCATTCAATTAGAAAATGCTTCATTATAACATTAATGAATATTATCCATGTTTTTTTTATTTTCTTATATTATCTATGTTTATTCGTTTATCTATTAAACTATATGTATACACAAATAAAATGATTATATTTATATGCATGTGTATGTTTTTTTTTAAAGAAGAGAATGAATACCACTTTCTTCTTAAATGTCCTCGCTGCAAATTTTTTGAAACCATAATTCTGCTATTTGCAGACTTTAAATAATCTTTTGTCGTCAGATTCATTATAAGCTTTATGTGCCCAAGCTAAAAATGTTATTTGACACCATTTTACATCTATCTAATTCAATATAACCACTAGTCCATGTTGGCATTCTCATATTTTTCAGGATTTATTTTACACGTTATCACATAACACTTACATTTCAATGTCAAGAAATTTTTCTTATACATGTACTATTAGGTATATCGTATGTCGCAACCTACAGTCCCAATCCACTGACGTCATCTAAGTTTTCTTTGGAAATATTAGTGTCATCAAAAGATAGGTTAGGCATATTAGAGTCATTCAACATCAAGTTCCGGTCGTATTGCTTAATAAGGTCAATTTGCACAAAAGCACCAACAGTAGAGTGACAGTAATAAATTTTCTGCGGTTTGCGCCTTTTAATTCGTCTTCGTAATGTTTTTCAATGCTGAACTGAAACTAAATTTTCGATCAGTTAATATTTTTGGTAAGGTTTGGGTGATGAAGAACAATTGGGGATAATCTAATCGATAATAATTCAGAAATATCGTTACAATTGTTGCACATGGAATTCTAAATAGATGAGGATGAAGGAAAGGAAAAAAAATATATATAAAAGAACTTTTTATCATTCGTGACAACTGTTAGTCTTAGTTCACAATTACATGAAAGAAAATAATTCAACAATAAATAGAACATACGTATGCATTATTTATATTTGAAATTATTTATTTATTGAAATGACTTTAAAAGGTAGCTTAAAAGCGTATGCTATTGTTGCATAAAGATATAAGGTAGTATGAAAACCGTGTTACAGAATTTGGCCCAACTTCTTTTTCAAGGGAAAATCATTCAGAAACAAGGTTTACAAGGCACTTTTATTTTCATAGTCATGATTTTCGTGTAGCTGATTTCCTCAAGACGAGTGATTATGTAAAATTAGAGTGTATTGTCTTGGATTAAGTTCTTAGAAAAGTCATCATCTAGTTCAAATAAGTGTGTAACGGCGTGACTGAGTAGCTAACGCGTCATTGCTGATCGCGTGAATTCAAACTTCGTTAGGGGCAAGCCGTTGTTTTGGTGAACAAGAAACTACATTCAATGCTTAGCAGGAACAGATTTTAGTGTGCAACAATAAGCTTATAATTTCCAACACAATTGAACTGAAAATTGATTGGTATAAACTGAGTATTAAACTGTGTTTTACATTATTGTTTTCACTAAAACATGATGTAGATCATATAGAATATTATTGGCGACCTGAAAATATTGGGTAATATTTGAGACAGTAATATGTATGAGTAACTGACAAAGGGTGCATGTTGTGAAGACCGGCCTATACTTAGCTGGATTGCCTTTATCTCCATTACTGAATAAAAGTTTATAACATTAGACATAGACCAGACAGCTGGGAAAGTACCGGTGTCAGTGGATATAGGTACAGCTTAGTGACCAAGAATTATATCTGTCAACTGAAATTTTTCTTAAAATGCCTGACTTTAGACAATCGGGATCACACGCTTTATCTGTATTAAAGATGGGAGAATTTTCTGGACGCCACACATACCATTCGCGACTTTTGGCATTTTGGGTTTATGGTTTGTAGCTTTGTGGTATGAAATGAAGAGCCTTTCATGTAAGATCGTTGGGTTCATTCAGGGTAGGGGGGCATCCGGATGAAGAATGTAATTTTAAGTCGTTTTGGTCGTTTGAATGTAATGACCATTTTCTAGATGTAAGGATAAACCCTGTTAATCTACCCTGTTAATCTTTCTTGGCATTTTTAAAGGATCATCTTGGTATTCAATGACATATTCATAAGCTTTGTTTAATATTAATTTTTCCTAACGCTATTTTTTGTTTCTCTTGAAACGTTTTTTCTCTACTATGTTAAGCCATTTCATAAGAGTATATCCAGTCGAATCGACATTTTATACAATACACTTCATTAATAAACTTATATTAATTCGGACGATTTTTTCGGATGTGGGATCATTGTCACACTGACGCTTGATTTTTCCATGAATCATAGTGCCGCTTTATCTTGTATTTTACGGAAAATAACGGAATAAATCAAAATGCCACGAACTTTCACGATAAATGGTGGCGAAATATGTCGGAATGTCACGAACTTTGATGAATGTTTAAATTTGGGGGGATAAAGGTTAATCACCTCAAAGCATGACTTCAAAACTGAATATTTAATGAAAGCATCGAGCGTAAACTTATATACATAAACATTTTTTAAATTAGATTTTAAATTATATTTACAGTTTTGAAAGATGTCGAATCTCAAGCTTGTTTGAATAGTTATTTACAAAAACAGAGTTTGATAGAACGGTTAAGGATAACTGATACACGCATTTACCTATGCGTAGATCGTCTGCGTACATATTTATGTAAATACTATTAAATGTCACGTTCATACATACTTAAATTACGAATTCAAAGAAAAAATATACATATGTATCGGCTTAAATTAAATAAAGACTAAAACTGTGATTATTAAAGAAATACTGACGACAAATATGGAAGCAGACGATACTCTTGAAATTGACACTGTATGGCGGGAAATAAACCCACGTGGGAAATTTCAAATGTTCCAAATGTTCCTTATTCTTTTGGATTATATGCCTGCTTGTTTTGCCATCCTCAGCGCCGTTTTGACTGGTAAGATTTATGTTACTTTCAATGAATATCATTCTTATAAATGTGATGTATAACATGTTAACTTGAAATTGTGTATGTTTGAAGTTATACTTTTATCACTTGTAAATTTTTGGTGAACATCTTAGGTAAATAGTTAGCTTAAGTTACCTATATTAGCGAAATGACATGTTGAAATATATTACATAATTGACTTTATTCATTGCAGATTAAAATGATGCACTAAGGAAGGTAAAAGCTGTATAATGATAGACTGCATGTATATTTTGAATGTGCTTTTTACAACAAAATATATAGCAAAAAAAAAATTCTTTGTTTTGTTTAAGGATATATACCAGACCATGAATGTAAAGTTCCACGTAATTATGATAATGTGACGTCACTGTATGGTAACTCAACGTACAAAGCCAATCAATGTTCATATGATGTTTACGTACGTAGTGGAAATACTTCAGTTTTCGTTGAGGAGAAGGAATGTGAACATTATGTGTATTCGAAAACATTAACTTATGCTTCCGAGGTATGGGGGTTTAAGTATAGTTAAAAATAGTAATGTACCAGTTTCTCTTTCTTTTCTTTTGAATGTAATTCAGTATGATGAACATTTCTTTTTATTTTGATAACTTTATTTTGAACAAAATTAATTTAGTTGTAGGAAGCTATTAGCTTCAAATAATCCGAGAATAAAGGATTCTAATATGGTGTCACAATTCAACTGCTTACTGTAGAAGGGTACTGCCATAGGGCTTGGATTTCTCAAACGTTATGTTGAATGAGATTTTCTTTTTTAATAAAAGTTGGTAAGAGAAGTATTCTGTAATTTTTTGACAACAGACAATTAAAAAAAATCACCATGAATAGTTTTCATTTTGGTATATGTTGGAGGCAGTGGTAAATGACACTGCAAAAAGAAATTCTGGACTAATGTTTCTTTCAAGCTGCACATTTTTTAGTCTTCGAATCATTTAAATAAAGCATGTGGTGTACATATTATACCTCGTCAGAAGCTAGATACATATAAGAGAAAGTAACTCTCCCGTATGTAATGTGTATTTAGTTTCTTGCATAAGGTAAACAACGGCTTGCCTTTGACAGGGTTTAAAAAAACAACAATATAAACGTGTCTGAATTTTTGAAGAATGAATAGGTATAGTAAATAATATAAAAGTTTCTTTTTGTCATCTCGATAAAACCTTAAAACGCTTTTGTCTTCAAGTGGGACCTAGTATGCGATCGGACCAACCTCGCTGCTTTGGCGCAATCCTTGGTTCTTGGCGGACAAGGTCTTGGGGCACTTACTATGTCCCATATAGCCGACAGGTTTGGTCGGAAAATAGTTCACGTGCTCTCACACTTGGGGGTCATGGCGTCAATGATCTTGATGGCATTTTCTAGCAACATCTACATGTTGCTTGCACTAAGACTTATTACCGGAACATTTCAACAGGTAAATTAAAAAAGTCATATATTTTAAAATTTTCCTTTCTTTTCGGTTTATGTGCTGAGTTTGTTAAGTTGAATATGTTTTGCAATTAAAGTACATGTAAGTACATTTGTTAGAATTTGCCGAATCATCAATAAAGAAGCAACGCAAGTTGCAAGCTAGGTACAGATGTTAAAGTAGTTTTTATTCAGTGATTAAGCGATAGGAAAAAGTGTACACGATAAAATCACAAGCGTATCTTTTATATTGTAATATCATTTTCTTGTTACTTGTTTGAATATCAAAATAGGGAATTGTGTGCACCGGAAAGATCCTAGCTTTAGAGTTATTTCCACGAGAGTACCGTTCTCACACTGAAGCATCAACTTTTACTGGTTGGTCAGTGGGAATCATGGTGTTGGCGCTTGTAGGGTATGTTTTCCGTGACATTGATTGGCGATATCTCCAGATTGCATTAGCTTCGGTGTCTGTATACGCCTTGTTTGAATGGTGGTAAGTATATTTGATTCTGAATGATCGTCTGAGAGTTTTGGAGCACTTCACTAAATACCGTATTACGGTAAATACGGGACAATGCGCTTTTGTCACGGTTCAGAACTGTCCACTATTTAGGGGAGATGATGTGTAAGCGGCTGAATAGCTCAGTCGGTAGAGCCCTGGTACGGTATTCCAAGGGTCCCGGGTTCGACTCCCGGTCATGCTGCCATTTGAAATCTAAAATTGATGCTAAAATCTCGCCTTTTCAGCCGCCGAAATGCTCTTCAAGACGTCTAGTTCAACTGTTCATACCAATTTATATACAATAATAAACAAAAAATGTAAGAATTGGCGAAAAAAGCGATATTTGTCTACTTTTTGGTAATGATTTCTGCAAGCGTCTAGAGGTACTGCTCCATCACTCCGTCATCTGATACCATGGTTAAATTCTGGTCGTTTATTAAACTTTTATCTGAGATCTGTCTTAAATCTTATGTTTTTCATTGGTCAGTGTACATTTTGTGGCAATTTCTGACCAATCAAATAACTTAGATGAGAGTCTCAATTATCAAGAAAGTAATATTACATATGAAAGTCGTGTAAACATGATAGTACAGTCCCTGAGGACCTTTTGTGTGCAAAAAAGGTCCATGGATAAATGTTATATTAATGTAAAGCTAAATGTTTGAAGTTTACAAAAAATTTGGGTAGACATGTCAAATCATGGTACGTTTTGAGAAATCCAAGATGGCCACCAAGATGGCCGCCAAATTATTGAAAAATGGCTAATATGCAATTTATATGATAAAATAAGTTCTTTTTTGTATTTATTTTGGTACAGGTGATGTTAAAACTTCAAATCCTATTTGAACAATATGAAAAATGGTCCTTTTCCTTTTTCTTATACATATACTCTTGTTTTCATAGAGAAATTTTGCTAAAAAAGCATGAAAGAGTATCAAAAATCGACATGGGGCTGGCATTTTTTCCTATCAGTCGAGGCATAGTGGTGAAAACTAATATTTTTACCATATTATACAAAGACCTAATCAACAACTTACTAATTGTGTACCCTTATTTTATTTTTATTGTGTAAGAATGTGAATTCTGACATTTCTAAAGTGGGTGGGGTACACGAAAATTGAGTCCCAATTTCTAGTGAACTGATATATAACGATTATTAAGACTAAGAATAACCAACAAGATTACATTTAAAATGTTCTTAAGTCTTTAATTTTTTTAAAGGTAGATTTTCATTCTACCAACAACATTAATTGATTCTGTTGCCATGGCAACACAGTGGTAAAATGAGAGAAACCCGGAAAAGTATGAGGCTTTCAGTTTTATCATTTCAAGCATGTTGTAGAAGTTAATGTCATGATTATGCATTACAGAATACAGAGTTGGATACATTTGAAACATTAAAAAAAATCATTTTAAATTTCACTACATTTACTTTCCATGAAAAAACACAAATTTGAATTAAAACATCGGTAACATTTTGCTGAACCGTTTCTGTAACAATAACAACGCTTAAAGTTTTAGAGGCAAAAGATAATAATGAAATCTAATCAGAGTTATATTGAAAAAAAAAAATTATCCTTGATGTTTGGCCCGATATGAGAAAAAACTTTTTAACATTCTTCATTTATTGGTCATTAAATGATAATAATAAATAACAAATTAAGCAAAAAAAAAATCCCACAGATAAAATGTGATAAGAAGGAATAGACAATATGTCAATATGTTGTGATGAAGAACGTCTTCAAGATAATGTGCCATGGATGCATCTGGAAAACCTAAATGATTGTGTTCTCATCTCAATGCAATACAAGCCCAGCTGAAATATTTTAACAGTTGGAGAAACATTGATAAAATCACCATTTTGTGTTAGAAATTTGACACTTTCTTCTATTCTAAAAAATATAGAGCAGCATAAATTATAAATCCTGTGTAGATGTCTTGTTACGCAAAACAAATAGGCCATATTCCACCGTTGCCTCAAAATTCTTTATAAATTATGTGACTATTTAAGAAGATGGCGGTCTGTTTCATAATATCATTATAAATCACGTTGAAAAGAATTTAAGAGTATGTTTATATGAAAATAGTTTTACATAGTCATATCTAGATTTGTATAATTGTTGAAATTTCATTTAATGTCGAGTATTCCTTTTTAATGTTTATAACTATGATATAAATTTGTTGATTTTAACGCATTTGAACATGTTATATATATCAGAAAGGCACTTAAAACATTTGGTGTAATGATAGATTTTGCTTTTGTTTTCGACCATTTTTTACCAGTTATAAGAAAAATATGTGTTTGTAAAACTTTGGGAGCGATTTTTGTTCCACTCACACAAAAAAGTGTGTAAATTGTCGTCACGTAGTAATAAGCTATAACTGATATACAGGTAAGCATTCAAATAAAATCTCAAAGACATTGGTAATCATATCAACTGTTACAGTTTTGTTATTTTCTCATCATCAATAATTATCAACAAATCATGTGGAATAACCCGCGGCTGAACGTATCCAAAATACATACAAGTAAAATGGTTTCCTGCGGGGAACATTTTTAATGATATAAAGATATTTCATTTAACTATTTTCAACATTGTTTTTTTTTTTTTTTTTTTTTTTTTGGGGGGGGGGGGATAAATAAACGTTTGTGTCAGGAATATAGTTAACAATAATCGAAGACTGGTGACCGTTGATGACCGGAGAAGGTCGAAGTATAAACAATTTATTGTAAAATTTGAGACACATATTAAAGAAACATTGATAATTTTCAAACACATCATTCAAGTGTTCCACCTTAAACGGTAAAATAATTATAGAAAATTAGAAATATCACGTAATAGTTTTTTGTTCTTAATTAGGTGTTATTCTGACTTATTCCCTAGAGGTAAATCCGTAACGTACCGGCAAACGGTATTTAGCCAGGTTTTCGAAAAGGTCAATTAACCAATCATGTACGGTTAACAGATCACATGCTCTTCCATGTACCGAAAACAGGTCACGTGCTCCTCCATGCCTCAAAAGTTAAACGCGTACCAATACCCTGCGGTCTCAAGACCGCAGGGAATAAGCTCTCTGTTTTAAATAAGTCATTATAAAAGTGCAGTCTTGAAACCATAGTTTCAATGTAATTGGAGATGAGGAAAAACAGCATTTCTCAAATTGTCCGGTAGCATGTAATGCACATGAACACTAGTGTGTTCCAAATTAAGATTAAGTTCAGGACGTATTTGAATTTGGAATCAGGATGAACATATGACTTTGATTTCTTTATTTTACAAACAATTAAAAATTACTGTTTTCTTTATTTGAATAAGCCAAATTTCACTTTATTATAGACTTTGTAATTCTGATTTGCCTTGAAAGATGACCAGAAGGTTTCAATTTTATGAAATAATGCACGGAGGGAAACATATTAAGCTCTTCCTCAGTAAAGCAGGAAAGTCGCCACTAAGCCTTTTAAAGTGTTGATAAGACGTAAAAATAGGCTATATTTGAAAAAAAATTACAGAAATTTTGTTTTGTTGTTGTTTTTTGCACAAATCGGATTACTGTATATCTTAGTCACAGAAGTTAAAAATAGAACTGACAATGCGTAATGTTTTCAAATATTCCCAGAAATAAATAAAAAGATCTTGAGCTTTTATATGTATGACTTTTTCAGATGGGACTAAAACAACATTGTTAATCGCATTCCGCGTAGTAGACAGGACTATATTTAAGAAAATATGAATGCTAGAGGCATTTTATAGTACAAGTAATATCTTGAGAGTTTTAACCTAATATGGGTATGCTGAAGACGATGAGGGTGGGAGGGTGGATACCAAGATAATAAAATTGACCTTGACCTTCAAAAGGTCAATTCAAAATGGCCGCTTAAAAATACTAAAATAGGTCATTAAAACTATGATACAATATGATGCAATTAATTATCTTGTCAAAAATCAAATGATTATTCAATATGATCAGATTTTAATGAGATTAGCCACCAAATATAACGATAATAAGCCCAATGGCTCAATAAACAGTAATATACAGTACTGTTTTACTAGCGCGTTAAGGTATAAGACTAAGATTGAAAAAAAAATCACTTTTTATTTTTTGTTTACTTTTTCTTATATTTTTAAACAATAAAACTTAGTTTTCAAATCCTTCTTTATAAATTTTACCAAAGAATGAATATTTCAAAATAACAAATTAATATTTCGTAACTTACGAAATAATATTTCGTAATAACGAATTAATATTTCGTTATTACGAAATTATATTTCGTAATAAGGAATCAATGTTTCGTAATTAAGATTTTATATTTCGTTAAAACGAAATAATATTTCTAATTGGGAATTATTATCTCGTAAAAAACGATTTCAATTCCGGGAGAAAGTGTGGAAAATGTCACTTCAGGTGTTTGGTAATTTTCAACATTATTTGTAGTTATGATTTTTTTTAAGTTGTTCTTTTTGTTTTCATTTGTTTTGCACTTATTAAAGTATTTATGGTTTAGAATTAATATCTAATTTAATTATTTTGAAATAAATACTATATAATATATATATAGTGCAACCCACCAACCCCTACTCCCCCCCCCCAAAAAAAAAAAAAAAAAAACAAACAACAAAAAACAACAACAGTAGGTCTTAAAAAAGGGAAACAGAAGGAATCGAACCATAGACCTCTCACACATCAGTCAATCACTTAACAGGCAATGCTACTGCGGTAGTAACGAAAACGTTTACATTTTTAGCAGATATGACTTTCACTAACATTAGTTTTATAGTTTACTATACTCGTGAACTTTAAGAACAGTATTCTCACTCGTGGCTACGCCACTCGTGGGGAATACTGTTTTTAAAGCCCACTCGATGAAATAAAATTTCATCTTACACACAAACAAACAAATATCCTCTATTAATTCGCGTAAACTTTACTAACGAAATCGAAAGTGGAATCTAATATTTCAATGAGTGCTGTAATGTATTCATAATTTACAG